GAATAGCACAGGGCGCCAGTGGCGAATTTGCCAATCTTGGTGTTCTCTGGCAAATGCCAAACGTCCTGCACAGTGTTGGGCTGTAAGCACAACCCCCACCTGTGGACGTCGGGCCCTCATACCACCCTCATGGAGTCTGTTTCTGACCATTTAAGCAGACACATGCACATTTGTGGCCTGCTGGAGGTCATTTTGCAGGGCTCTGGCACGGCTCCTCCTGTTCCTCCTTGCACAAAGGCAGAGGTAGCGGTCCTGCTGCTGGGTTGTTGCCCTCCTATGGCCTCTTCCATGTCTCCTGATGTACTGGCCTGTCTCCTGGTAGCGCCTCCATGCTCTGGACACTACGCTGACAGACACAGCAAACCTTCTTGCCACAGCTCGCATTGATGTGCCATCCTGGATGAGCTGCACTACCTGAGCCACTTGTGTGGGTTGTAGACTCCATCTCATGCTACCACTAGAGTGAAAGCACCGCCAGCATTCAAAAGTGACCAAATTATCAGCCAGGAGGTATAGGAACTGAGAAGTGGTCTGTGGTCACCATCTGCAGAACCACTCCTTTATTGGGGGTGTCTTGCTAATTGCCTATAATTTCCACCTGTTGTCTATCCCATTTGCACAACAGTATGTGAAATTGATTGTCACTCAGTGTTGCTTCCTAAGTGGACAGTTTGATTTCACAGAAGTGTGATTGACTTGGAGTTACATTGTGTTGTTTAAGTGTTCCCTTTATTTTTTTGAGCAGTGTATATTGTGATCCTTGTTTGCAGGTAGCACGGTCCTCTAGGGCAAAAACATGCACAGTCCTTGTAATTGCAAATACTCCAGGCACTTTATTTGCAAATCCACACAGGATACAGCAGTAAATTAAAACATAAATGTAACACAAAACCCTATAAACAAAAACCTAGCTCGGTCTGAGCACTAACTCACTTTAGGTTCCCTATCTCTCAGGGTTAAACTAACAAAACATATGGCACCAACCTTATTAGTTAGCAACACTCTGCTGGCTAGCCTGTTGCGTTCCTTTCCGCACTCCTAGTGCTCCAAGCCAGCCTTGCCCTGACTGCTTTCCTTTCTGCACTCCCAGTGCTCCAAGCCAGCCTTGCCCTGACTGCTTCCTTTCTGCACTCCAAGTGCCTAGTCTCCTTGACTCTATCTGGAGAGAATAGCCTCTCTCTCCTACCTGCTTCCTGGGAGGAAGCCAGCAATCCCTCTCCTTTTCTTGCCTAGCCGGGAAGGGTTTATTCCAATTGCAACAGCTCATTAACTGCAGCTGAGCAGTGGGTTGGAGACGGTCCAAAAAACCCTGGCCTGGATCTATGTCTCCCCAGAAAACCACTAAACTGTGGAGTGGAGCATTGGCCCACCCTTCTCTCCAAATGCTCCACCCCAGGGGCCCATAACTAAACAATGTTTTGTGTTGCCTACAACACATCCTACACATACTCCCTCTGGGGTTAAAAGGCCTATCTGCCTTCACTTTATCACATATCCTCCCCCCCCAGCTCAGACCCATCAGGTCGAGCGGCCTTAGAACACAAACCGTGAACATTCATAACACCTAGGGCTCTACCAGCCCTGACTAGCTTCTCAGTTACAGGAAGTGGCCTATTGTAGATAGCGGCTACCTTGCTCCCTTGTAGTTTAAGGAGCCCCCACCCAATAGGATAACCCAAATAGTTAAGAGTGTTAGCGGTCAAACCTGCAGCCTTTACATTATTCACAACTAACCGGCCCTTCATCAGGTGTGCTACCCTGTTCAACACCACATCAAGGTAGGCAGCTGCATACTCTGGCTGGAACAGAACACTTTTCATCAGAGTAACCTCACTCCCTGAATCTGTCAGTGCTTGTGTACTCTTCCCTACCACCGTCACCACTTTTAGCTGTTCTGTAACACCACCACCAGTCACCATACACATATTTAAACAAGTCAATACAATCCTATGCAGAGCCGTTATTCCTATGTCACATTGTATTGGCTCTTCACTCTCAGGACAGTTATATGCAATATGTCCTTGCATGTGGCAGTTGAAGCATCTGAGTTCTTTCTCAGTCTGGTCTCGTATGGAGTGCTGTTCTTGTACCGGAGGCCCAGACTCCCTGCGTAGCTCATCTTTCCTTTGCCTTGTTTCCTCTCCTTGCTCAGCCTTCAGTGGCCACCTCGCAACGTCAACAATGCTTTCCTCTGGCCTGTCTGGCGGTCTCCCTGTTCCCTTGGGGGTGTCCAGAGACGCAGTCATGGCCTCTCGCTGGATCATGACAGCCCCGGTATCAAACAGCCGTTCAGGCAGTCCGAGTCCCGCCTTTAATTCCATGACTAGGTTCCCAGAATCTGGCAGCTGTTCCAGGTAGTCAGTGCGCCCAGGCCTTGCAGCAGTTGTGTTTGCCAGCAGATCCAGTTCTACAGCTTCCGGACAATCATTCAAAGTCTTTGTAACAATACCAGGTGTCTCTGAAATATTTATTTCTGTTAAACCAATGTCATCTACTATGTCACTTTCACCTTGGTTGGGATTAGGTGCGTACGTGCCAATCTTATTACCACAGCTTGGTTCTGTAACAGTTGCTCTCTCTTGGCTTAGATCAGTAGCGGCTACTTTGCCTTTCTTGTTTTGACTTTGTTTTGCCACTACTTCTCTGCCATGCTTTTCTCTGCCAAACTGTTCAACAGCTGGTCGACATTTTTGGGTAGCCTCTGCTACTAAACAGCGCATCACATTGTTATACTCAACTGGAGTGCTTTGCTTCTCTTCATTTTGCTCAGCTCCTTTACTGTTGTCTTCTCTGACTCCCCAAGTCAGTCTGCTTTTCATGCCTTTGACTTGTTCACTTGGGTGTACATCAGGGGCTTCTGTTTCGTTTGTCTACCCCTGGCTGTATCCACAAGCTTTACTTACACCTTCTGGGTGGTTTTTGCTTACCACCAACTCTTTTTCAAAGACCTCTTTATCACTACTTTTAGGCTCAATTTCATCCTTCTTGCCTTCTAATTCCTGTTCTCTCTCTCCTGCATGTTTCTCAACAGCACGCTTTGCTGCCTCCATGCTTTTCAGCTTGCTGAAGACTTCTTCTACTGCCTCTGTCATCTCATGCAGGATGTCAGTAGCTTGGTTACAGGGTCCCTTGTCCCCACGCTCCCTGCAGGGGGCAATCTGCAAAACCTCAGTAAGGGCAGCTCTATGCTCCTGCTGAGCGTCCTTCAGGTTCTTAACCTGTGCAGCCAGGAAACTGTTTGTGCCTTGTTGTTTAGCGGTTGCCTGTACCACAGCCTTCAGCAGGTCCTCCATTATAGCACCAAGCAGGTAACAGTCTTAAAGGTACAGTGCTACTTATTTGATTAGCAGGTCTGCAAAAATAAAAAAGTCCTCAAGCAGACTACCAAATGACTGGCACACCCACAGACCCTCACTGTGCTATTGTGCCCGCATTCTCCACCATATTGTGATCCTTGTTTGCAGGTAGCACGGTCCTCTAGGGCAAAAACATGCACAGTCCTTGTAATTGCAAATACTCCAGGCACTTTTTTTGCAAATCCACACAGGATACAGCAGTAAATTAAAACATAAATGTAACACAAAACCCTATAAACAAAAACCTAGCTCGGTCTGAGCACTAACTCACTTTGAACGTCCCTCTCTATCAGGGTTAAACTAACAAAACATATGGCACCAACCTTATTAGTTAGCAACACTCTGCTGGCTAGCCTGTTGCGTTCCTTTCCGCACTCCTAGTGCTCCAAGCCAGCCTTGCCCTGACTGCTTTCCTTTCTGCACTCCCAGTGCTCCAAGCCAGCCTTGCCCTGACTGCTTTCCTTTCTGCACTCCCAGTGCTCCAAGCCAGCCTTGCCCTGACTGCTTTCCTTTCTGCACTCCCAGTGCTCCAAGCCAGCCTTGCCCTGACTGCTTCCTTTCTGCACTCCAAGTGCCTAGTCTCCTTGACTCTATCTGGAGAGAACAGCCTCTCTCTCCTACCTGCTTCCTGGGAGGAAGCCAGCAATCCCTCTCCTTTTCCTGCCTAGCTGGGAGGGGTTTATTCCAATTGCAACAGCTCATTAACTGCAGCTGAGCAGTGGGTTGGAGACGGTCCAAAAAACCCTGGCCTGGATCTATGTCTCCCCAGAAAACCACTAAACTGTGGAGTGGAGCATTGGCCCACCCTTCTCTCCAAATGCTCCACCCCAGGGGCCCATAACTAAACAATGTTTTGTGTTGCCTACAACACATCCTACACATACTCCCCCTGGGGTTAAAAGGCCTATCTGCCTTCACTTTATCACAATATTAATATTAAAATACACTTAGACAGCGAATGTGTATTCATGTGTATATATGTGTACAGGTGAAACTCGAAAAATTAGAATATTGTGCAAAAGTTCATTTATTTCAGTAATGCGACGTTAAAGGGGAAACTAATATATGAGATAGACGCATTACATGCAAAGCAAGATAGTTCAAGCCGTGATTTGCCATAAGTGCGATGATTATGGCTTACAGCTCATGAAAACCCCAAATCCACAATCTCAGTAAATTCAAAAATTGTGAAAAGGTGCAATATTCTAGGCTCACAGTGTCCCACTCTAATCAGCTAAGTAAGCCATAACACCTGCAAAGGGTTTCTGAGCCTCTAAATGGTCTCTCAGTCTGGTTCAGTAGGAATTACAATCATGGGGAGGACTGCTGACCTGACAGTTGTGCAGAAAACTATCATTGACACCCTCCATAAGGAGGGAAAGCCTCAAAAGGTAATTGCGAAGGTTTTGGATGTTCCCAAAGTGCTGTATCAAAGCACATTAATAGAAAGTTATGTGGAAGGGAAAAGTGTGGAAGAAAAATGTGCACAAGCAGCAGGGATGACCGCAGCCTGGAGAGGATTGTAAGGAAAAGGCCATTCAAAAGTGTTGGTGACTATCACAAGGAGTGGACTGAGGCTGGAGTCAGTGCATCAAGAGCCATCACACAGACGGATCCTGGACATGGGCTTCAGATGTCGTATTCCTCTTGTCAAGCCGCTCCTGAACAACAAACAACGTCAGAAGCGTCTTACTTGGGCTAAAGAAAAACAGACCTGGTCTGTTGCTCAGTGGTCCAAAGTCCTCTTTTCTGATGAGAGCAACTTACAGTGGGAGTTGACAGAGGAGCTGCACGGAGGATCTTGTACAACCTGCCAACAGAGCCATGGCCTATCCACAGGATAGGGGTATGACACAGAAGACGAATAAAAATCGTATTTGTGTGGATCAGAAGCCGATGCACTGAACGGTGAGAAGGAAAAAGACACTATGTCAACACCATGAACGTCAGAACGTGATGAAACTTACAAGACGTACTGGGGGAACTGTTAAGCGGAAAATCTGACGCAAGGAAAAGTCATTGTCATCAGGCCATTCCTCAAGGAAAAGCAGGATACAGGACACAACTTGAATTGAGGAATAGCAAGAGATAGGGCTCCCGTAAGGTATACCCTTCTTGGTATACCCTAAAAGAGGGCAATTCAGCCAGACAATGAGGACAGCTATGATAAAGACCGCCACCGGGATCCAAACATCTCTCCAGACACCAGTCGTGGCAGGCTTCCCTTGTGGATCCCACACGGAACACTTAGAGACGGTGAGTAGTAAATGGTCTTCCCATGGTGACTCAAACAAGAGAGAGGAGCATGGAGGATTCCTCTGAAGTGGTGTGGCCAGGCGAAAGGACACTCCCAGGAGCAGGGGCGGGCTGGGCCGGGGGGAAGGGAGGCAATTACCTGCCAGGCCGCCGCAAATCCTTTTAAGACCGGCCGCTGCAGGGCCGGTCCTAATGCTGCAGCCGTCTGAGCGCTCTCTAAGGAGCATCAGGCGGCTGCAGCACATCTTCTCCCCTCCCCTGTAGCGTGGCCGAGCTCCGGTTTGCGGTGCCCGGCCGGAGTGATAGGATGGTGCACTTCCTGTCAGTCTGGCCGGTTACAGGAAACAGAAACTCCTGTTCTGTGCAGAGTTTCTGTTTACTGTAACCGGCCGGACTGACAGGAAGTGCACACTGAGTGTGCACCTTCCTATAACTCGCCAGGCACAGCGGATACCCTGAGAGGAGCTCGGCCACGCTTAAGCAGGGAGGGGAGGTGAGGGGGGATTAATAAAAAAGAGGGGGATTGGCAAGAAGGGAGGGGTGGGGGAATCAAGAAGAAGGGGGAGGTGGGGGGAATTAAGAAGAAAGGGAAGGGGTGGAGGGAATTAAAAAGAACAGGGGGGATTAAGAAGAATAGGGGGGATTAAGAAGAAGGGGGAGGGAGGATTAAGAAGAAAGGGGGAGTGGGGGATTAAGAAGAACAGGGGGTGCTGATTAAGAAGAACAGGGGGGAGGGAGATTAAGAAGAACAGGGGGGTGATTCAGAAGAACAGGGAGGGGTGGGGGATTAAAGGACCACTATAGTGCCAGGAAAACATACTAGTTTTCCTGGCACTATAGTGCCCTGAGGGTGCCCCCACCCTCAGGGACCCCCTCCCGCCCGACTCTGGGGAGAGGAAAGGGGTTAAACTTATCTTTTCTCCAGCGCCGGGCGGGGAGCTCTCCTCCTCCTCTCCGCCTCCAATCCTCCCTTTCGGCTGAATGCGCACGCGCGGCAAGAGCTGCGCGCGCATTCAGCCGGTCTCATATGAAAGCATTTACAATGCTTTCCTATGGACGCTGGCGTCTTCTCACTGTGATTTTCACAGTGAGAATCACGCAAGCGCCTCTAGCGGCTGTCAATGAGACAGCCACTAGAGGATTTGGAGGATGGATTAACCCATTCATAAACATAGCAGTTTCTCTGAAACTGCTATGTTTATAAAAAAAATGGGTTAATCTTAGCTGGACCTGGCATCCAGACCACTTCATTAAACTGAAGAGGTCTGGGTGCCTAAAGTGGTCCTTTAAGAAGAACAGGCAGGGGTGATTAAGAAGAACAGGGAGGGGTGGGGGATTAAGGAGGGGTGGGGGATTAAGAAGAACAGGGGGATGATTAAGTAGAATGGGGGTGGGAAGAGTTTGGGGGAATAAGAACAGGGAGAAGAAGAACGGAGAAGAACAGGGAAGTAGAAAGAACAGGGGTAAAAGAACACAGAGAGGAGGGAAGAGTAAGAAGAACATAGGGAGGAGGGGAGAAAGGGGAGATGAGGAGAACACAGGGAGGGAAGGTGAGAAAAGAACACAGGGAGGTTGGGGGGAAGGGAGAACACATGGGGGGGAGGGGGGAGAGAAAGGAGACACAGGGGAGGAGGGGGAAAAAGAACACGGAGGAGGTTTTGGGGGAAGAACACTGGAGGTTTGGGTGGGGGGAAGATGAGAAGAGCACAGGGAGGGAGGGTGGGTGTGAGAAGTGACTACTAGGGGGGGGGGAGAGGAGAGACCATTAAGGGGCAGTGGAGAGCTCTATAGGACAGGGGGCAGGACAGGGAGCTCTTTCACACTACGCGCGCACACACACAATGCATCCCTATACATACACAGAAACACACAATGCATCCCTACACACACAGAAACACACAATGCAAACCCTTAAACACACATGCAAACACACACCGCATCTCTTACATATACACAGAAACACAATGCATTTCATACACACACTCAATGCACACACTTACAGACACACACCTTGCATCCCTTATGCATACAAACACAGATTCACAGAATACATCGCTTATACACAAACACACACTGCTTCCACTACAAACAAATACACTGCATCACCTACACAAACTGGTATCCCTATACACTACATACCATAAGCACACACATTAGATCCTCTACAATAACACATAACACATCCCCTACACACTCTACTCCAGACCTTGAGCTGTTTTGGGGCCCAGACCTTGAGCTGTTAAAGGGGCCCCCAAAAAATGGAGCTGCTTCCCATTCTATTAGAACTTTGAATTTTGTGACCACAGTTACAAACAGCCTTCATAGATCCTGTTCTACTCCAGACCAGTGGAGCCAAACTGCAGCCCATCATCATCCTCATCTGGTTGTAAGTAGGCAATCTAGTATATTATTAGTGACACTAATCTATAGTTTACCTCACATTAAAGGGACACTATAGTCCACAGAACCACTTCAGCTTAATGCGGTCCCTGCAGGCGTTTTAATGTAAACACACACTGTGTGCAGCATTGGCATTAGTTCATTTGGCAGATCATATGGGTGGGGCATTGTGATGTCACATGGGGTGGCGGCAAATTTTTCTTTTGCCTAGAGCGGCAAAAATCCTTGCACCGGCTCTGATCCTGGGCAGGTCTACGGGTGACCCACAGGAGGGGAGTGCACTGATTGCACTGCACTCTCCTCCTGCCCAGACCCGTCTTTACCGCAATGCAAGTGCCCTCTACCCCTAATTTACAGTGGCTCACACTCACAACATGCAGTGACTGGAGCCCTTTGCAAGGACAGGAACAAAGAGGTTCTGCGGCAGCTGGCGTCCTGCAAGCATTACATTAACCAGCTGTTCCCCATGCAGCCACAGGTGCCGCTGTGCTGGGAGATTGTGATTACTCTTCACTTCTTCCCAGCCTACAGAGCAGCGCATGGGAGAGAGAGAGGAGGAGGCATGATTTAATCATACAACAAATCCAGTAAGCAAATCTTTATAAATTTGGAGGGATCAGCTCTGTTTCCACAGTTTATTGGTGTTTACTCTGATATCTGTATTAATATTGAGGGATTTCTAAGTAGTAACATCAGTATGTGTCAGCAGGGCCAGCCGTTGGGGTGTGCACGCTGTGCGGTCACGCAGGGTGCCATGACAACAGAGGCGGCCAACGCAGCTCACAAGTTGGGGACACCAGCCTATTCAATTTAAACGATTCGCTGGTGGTCCACTGGTGCGCCCCAGCAGTAGGTGCAGTCAGATTATAGCCTCTCTCTCATGGTTCCGGCGCTCAGTTAGTGAGTCGGAGCACAGGCTCAGAGATTCTCAGCCTGCGCTCTGACAACATTGAAAGTCAGAGCCGTGAAGGAGCGGGTATGGCAAAGAGCTACTGATTAGCATAACATCAATATCCGTTATAAAACAAGGAAAAGGTGGGCATGGATGGTGAACTGATTTGGTGGTGCAATTGGCCACTTGACTGGTTTTTCCCACCAAGCCTAAGGCTGTCAGCAGTGTGTTTCGTAAATGGTAATTCTGTGGTATATTGGCAGTGATACAGCTTCACTGTATATAGGATAATCCCCATAAAAGTGTCAGAGTAGTTACCTTGTGTTGATAAAATTCTTGCATAGTTAAAGAACTCTCCAGGCACCATAACCACTACAACTGCCTCAATGAATATTTTTGTTACACCCAAAGCTATTAAAAGAGCTTAGTGATGTACTAGCAAAACCATTAACAGATTTATTTAACCAATCATTGTTAACAGGAGTAGTCCCAGAAGATTGGAAGTTAGCGAATGTTGTGCCCATTTACAAGAAAGGTAATAGGGAGGAGTCAGGCAACTATAGGCCAGTAAGCCTTACTTCAGTAGTGGGGAAAGTGATGGAAACCATGTTAAAGGATAGGATTGTTGAACATCTAAAAACACATGGATTTCAAGATCAGAGACAACATGGGTTTACTTCAGGGAAATCATGCCAAACTAATCTTATTGATTTTTTTGATTGGGTAACTAAAATTATAGATCAGGGTGGTGCAGTAGACATTGCTTACCTAGATTTCAGTAAGGCTTTTGACACTGTTGCACACAGAAGGCTCATCAATAAACTGCAATCTTTAAGTTTGGATTCCAATATTGTTGAATGGGTAAGGCAGTGGCTGAGTGACAGGCAACAGAGGGTTGTAGTTAATGGAGTATATTCGAAGCTTGGACTTGTCACCAGTGGGGTACCTCAGGGATCTGTACTTGGACCCATTTTCTTTAATATTTTTATTAGTGATATTGCAGAAGGTCTTGATGGTGATGGTATGTCTTTTTGCTGATGATACTAAGATATGTAACAGGGTTGATATTCCAGGAGGGATAAGCCAAATGGCAAATGATTTAGGTAAACTAGAAAAATGGTCAGAATTGTGGCAACTGACATTTAATATGGATAAGTGCAAGATAATGCATCTTGGATGTAAAAACCCAAGGGCAGAGTACAGAATATTTGATAGAGTCCTAACCTCAACATATGAGGAAAGGAATTTAGGGGTGATTATTTCTGATGTCTTAAAGGTAGGCAGACAATGTAATAGAGCAGCAGGAAATGCTAGCAGAATGCTTGGTTGTATAGGGAGAGGTATTAGCAGTAGAAAGAGGGAAGTGCTCATGCCATTGTACAGAACACTGGTGAGACCTCACTTGGAGTATTGTACACAGTACTGTAGACCGTTTCTTCAGAAGGATATTGCTATCTTAGAGAGGGTTCAGAGAAGGCTACTAAACTGGTTCATGGATTGCGGGATAAAACTTACCAGGAAAGGTTAAAGGATCTTAACATGTATAGCTTGGAGGAATGTCGAGACAGGGGGGATATGATAGAAACAGGGCCGGATTAACATAGGGGCTGATGGAGCTGCAGCTCCAGGCCCAGGCCCAGGCCCATGGAATAGGCCCATTTAAAAAACTACTCTTAGGTTTGCCACCTGACTGGTGTTTTACTGGCACAGCCGGTATTTGAGGCTGCCTGTCTGTACAGTTATTGCAGTAATACCGGCAATACAAATGAAGGTATTTTTCTCAGTATTAATGGAGATTACTCTGCAATACCAGCAGAGAAGTTACAGCATATCCCTGCCTCTCTCTACTACTCACTGATCCGTGGGGCGCAGCTACACAGCACAGAGAGTCCAGACAGCAGCTCAGGTAAGTAAGGGATGGGGGAAAGGCAGCAGGGAGACCTGGGGACACTGAGACACTAGTGGACACGTGGGGACACAGACACTAGGGGACACTGGGAGACCTGGGGACACTGAGACACTTGTGGACACTGGAAAACATGGGGACGCTGTGAGACATAGGGACATTGGGAGACACAGACATTGGGACAAGGAGACACTAGGAACATGACACAGGATCCCTAGTGTCTTAGTGTCCCCAAAGGTTTGTGTCCCCATGTCTTCAAGTGTCTGTGTCCCCATGTCTCTGTGTCCCTAGTGTCTCAGTGTCCCCATTTCTCCCAGTGTCCCCAAATGTCTGTGTCCCCATGTCTCCCAGTGTCCCCATGTCTGTATTCACAAGTGCCCCCATGTCTCCCAGTGTCCCCATGTCTCACTGTGTCCCCTAGTATCCTAGTGACATGGGGACACACTGAGACATGGGGACACACTGGGAGACTATGGGACTGGTTGACATGGGGACATGGACACTGTGACACATAGGGACACTGAGACACTGAGAGACAGGGAGACACTGGGAGCAATTCATCTATACAGCAGAATCAAACTGTGATTAGTTTGTTGGTGATTTTACAGAATTTTCTCTTATGTCACTCCTTGTGATTTACATCATGTGATGTCATGCATAACTAATTAATTATACAAATGGCTGGTATTTTTTTTTCCCAAGAAAGGTGGCAACCCTAACTACTCTTCACATACTCTTGCTTAAAGGAACACTATAGGGTCAGGAACACAATCATGTATTTCT